ATAATATTGTACATCAACTGTACTTTAATAGTAAAAAGAAATCTTTAAAAAAAGAAAAAATATATAATCCTCATTTTAGAAAAAACTATGATCTCCACTGTTACAACAGTTATTTATTTGTTGCTATTTCATTTTTTAAAAAATAAAACTCACATGAAAAGAGACACCCAATTCCTGCTTTTCTCAGTTATTCAAAATAAAATAATCCTAAAAATTAATATTGTTAAAATGGCCATACTACCCAAAGCAGTCTACAGATTTAATGGGATCCCTATCAAATTATCCATGATGCTTTTCACAGAACTATAACAAATAATCCTAAAATTTATATGGAACCATAAAAACTCAGAACTGCCAAAGCAGTCCTGAGGGGGAAAAACAAAGCTGGAGGCATAACCCTCCTAGACTTCAGACAATACTACAAAGCAAAACAAAACAGAGTGGCATTGGCACAAAAACAGACATCTGGATCAATGGAACAGAACAGAAAGCCCAGAAATAAACCACACATCTACAGTTAATTAATCTTTGACAAGGAGGCAAGAATATACAACGGAGAAAAGCAGTCTCTTCAGCAAGTGGTGCTGGGAAAGCTGGACAGCTGCATGTAAATCAGTGAAGTTAGAATACTCCCTCACACCATACACAAAAATAAACTCAAAATGGCTTAATGACTTAAATATAAGACATGATGCCATAAAATGCCTAGAAGAGAAGATAGGCAAAACATTCTTTGACGTAAGTTGTATCAATGTTTTCTTAGGTCAGTCTCCCAAGGCAATAGAAATAAAATAAAAATAAGCAAATGGGACATAATCAAACTCATAAGCTTTTGCACAGCAAATGAAACTATAAACAAAATGAAGAGACAACCTACGGACTGGAAGAAAATATATGCAAATGATGCAACTGACAAGGGCTTAATTTCCAAAATATACAAACAGCTCATACAACTTAACAACAACAACAAAAATCAACCCAATCCAAAACTGAGCAGAAGACCTAAATAGATGTATCTCCAAAGAAGACATACAGAGGGCCAACAGGCACACGAAAAGATGTTCAATATTGCTAATTATCAGAGAAATGCAAATCAAAACTACAATGAGGTATCACCTCACACTGGTCAGAATGGCCATCATTAAAAAGTCTACAAATAACAAATGCTAGAGAGAGTGTGGAGAAAAGAGAACGTTCCTATAATTTTGGTGAGAATGTAAATTGGTTCAGCCACTCTGGAAAAAAGTACAGAAGTTCCTCAAAAAACTAAAAACAGACTTACCATATGATCCAGCAATCCCACTCCTGGATATATATCCAGAGGAAACTACAATTTGAAAAGACACATGCACCCCAATGTTCGTAACAATACCATTTATAACAGTCAAGACATGGAAGCAACCTAAATGTCCATCAAAAAATGAGTGGATAAAGAAGTGATGGTATATTTACACAATGAAATACAACTCAGCCATAAAAAAGAAAATAATGCCATTTGCAGCAACATGGATGGACCTAGAGATTATTGTACTAACAGAAGTCAGAAAGAGAAAGACAAAAACCATATGATATCACTTATGTGTAGAATCTAAAATATGACACAAATGAACTTATTTATGAAACAGAAACAGACTCACATAGAAAACAAACTTTTCCCAAAGGGGAAAGGGGGTGGGAGAGGGATAAATTAGGATTTAGGGGTTAGCAGATACAAATTATTATATATAAAATAGATACACAACAAGGTCCTACAGTATAGCACAGGGAACTATATTCAACAGCCTGTAACCACCTATAATGAAAAAGAATATGAAAAAGAATATGTATGTATATGTATAACTGAATCACTATGCTGTACATCAGAAACTAACACAATATTGTAAATCAACAATACTTCAATCAAAAAATAAAAAGTAAAATGAAATAAAATAATCCTAGCTATAATTAGGCCTAAGCTATGCCTAGCCTGCCTGGTAGCCACCGTTTGGAATGTCCACACAGGGCCTTGAAGGAATAACTGTTCTCCAAAAGGCCAGCTGTATACATTGCCATTTCCCACACAGGTTCCTGCCACTCAGGAATGCTGCTCCCTGAGGGTTCTTTATTGGCATTTAGCCTCCTGTTGCTTCATCATGTGCTCTGGAGTGTCTCTGTGAAAATGGGTTTCACCACAGCACAAAAACACCATCTTAAAATGAACATTTTTGCAATGAGATGGAGGATTTGAGTGGCACAAGATTCAGTAACTGGTAGAGGCAAATGCAGTAAACCTAGAGAAATAAATCAAAAGGGAAAAAAAAAAAGGCTGTGGGGGAGTTCCTTTAACCATGGCATTAGATGGGCAACATTTCTTAGAATTCATCTTCATAGAATTTGCAGACTTTGTCTAAGAAAGACAGTGCTACCACCTTGCAAAAATTCATATTCTGCCATTGTCTGCAGGTCAAGGTGAAAGTCAGCTTTGAAAGAATCAGCTATAAATCTAATAAGCGGCAAAGAAACAGTTTTATTAAAAAGTAAGTTCTTATAGACGGCAAAAATGTGCTGACCTTAAATCACCAGTTACTGGGTAATAGTCCAGATATGCAAGAAGACTGTTGAATTTTAGGTCTATTTTCAGAAATATAAATATAAAAGTTTTTTTTTCAAAGCTCTAAAGTGAATCATCAGTAAATTATCATGTGATTGATAGGTTTAAGCAAACTGGAGCATTATTCCTTGGTTATATAAGCATTCGAAAGTCTGCGCAGGATCTTTTGGGGTTTTTGGTCTTTCCAGGGTAGGCTTCTCAACACCGATGTCTTAGGCTGCATCTCCCTCTGCTGCCCACAGTCTCCACAACAATAGTAGGGATGAGGCGATTGGTGGGTTGGGAGAGTAGTGAGACTAATAAAAGGGATCAAACTGGGAGGAAATTAGTGTTTTCCTCTTGGTAATCAGAGCATCTGATGTGCACACAAATTCATATGTTTCATACGGTTGCCATAGACACTGACTCAGTGTTGATATCTTTTATTTTCAAATTCTCCCCCTGAGCATATGCAGACTACATACCAGTGATAACCCTCACCCTATGTGCTGAGCACTGGCTAGGAAAAACTGGAGTGGTCTGAAAGATGCAATGAGGAGTTAAGAAAATGTCAACGCCACCTCTCAGCCATGGCTTCTGGACTGCACGAGAAAGAGCAGCTTTTTCCAGAGACTACAGGAGGTTTAGAACTGGAGGGGAGAGCAGGAGATGGAATTTAAGGAAAGAAAATTGAGAATGTAAGAAAGCTAATTAGGTATCGGTTATGGTAATAGTAGACAACAGCTTAAACCAGTAAACCCCAAGTTTTCAGTGGCTATGCTTCTCTTATCCAGGTTAACAGTCCAAAGCAGATAGTCTGCATTGGCTACAACTTTTCTCTATGGAGTAGCTCAGAGATCTAAACTGCAGACCCCTAAAGAGGCAGAATCCTTCCCATTTGAAAAGGAGTAAGAAAGCAGGGAAGGTACAGACTCTTTTTAAAAGCCCAGCAGGGAGGTGACATAAATCTTTTCCTCATTCCATTGGTGAGAACTAGTCACATGGCCACATCTGGCAGCTGGAAGGACTAGAGGATGAAGTCCCTGGCTAGCAGCTGCCTCCCAGTGACAAGTCTACCCTATGAAAGGGAAACTGAATGTTGGGGAGTAGCTGGACATCTCTACCCACAGAGATTTGAGAGGGCATGAGGGACAGGACTGAGAAGGAGATGAGCAGCAGAAAAAGCAGAGAATATTATGGGAACTGGGTAAGACAGTGAACTAAAAGGAATTGCAGTTTCCTGGAAGCTTGCATAATAGAGATGAAAGGCATAATTCAAGGAATCATCAGCAAGGATTTGAGTAGGGCAGATTAGGGCTTTGGCCATGATGAGCTTAGAAGGCTTTGCTGGGTGTTTGAATGGAAGGTAATCAAAAACTAGCTCTGGGGTCTCCAAAGAAACATCTTTCAGGTTATTAGTGGAGAGGATCAACTGCTTTTCAGTTGTTCTTGTCCCAAAGAACTCTGCTATATGCAGCAGCTGAAATGCTTAAAAATAATAAAATAATACCATTTGCAGCAACATGGATGGACCTGGAGATTATCATTCTAAGTGAAGTAAGCCAGAATGAGAAAGAAAAATACCATATGATATCACTTACATGTGGAATCTTAAAAAAAAAGACAAACTTATTTACAAAACAGAAACAGACTCACAGACATAGAAAACAAACTTATGGTTACCAGGAGGGGAAGGGGGTGGGAGAGATAAATTGGGAGTTCGAGATTTGCAGACACTCATATATATAACATAGATAAACAACAAATTCATACTGTATAGCACAGGGAACTATATTCAATATCTTTTAGTAACTTATGGTTAAAAAGAATATGAAAATGAATATATGTATGTGCATGCATGATTGAAGCATTATGCTGTACACCAGAAATTGACACAACATTGTAAACTGACCATACTTCAATTAAAAAAATATATATATATATTTACAAAAAACAAATACAAACCAAAAAAACAAAAACTAGTTCTGGGGTTATTAGTGGAGAAGATCAGCTGCTTTTGAGTTGTTCTTGTCCCAAAGAAATCTGCTGTTTGCAGCAGCAATAATGCTTAAAGTTTTTGCTGATAGAATCAGTAATGTCTAAACTCTAGAAGAGAGCTGTCCCAGAGATATGTATATGATGATGGAAATGTTCTATATCTGTGCTGCCTGATACAGTAGCCACTAGCCATGTGTGGCTATTGAGCCTCTGAAATGAAGCTAATGTGACTGTGGACCTGAATTTTTAATTTTATTTACCTCTAGGAAATGTGCATTTACAATTACATAACCACATGAGGCCAGTGTTCCCTGTATTGGACGGTGCAGGTCTGGAGGGAGGTAATGGATAGCTCTGTGTGGCCCTTTCTCCCCATCACAAGCTTCCTCAGGTGGCTCTGCACAGCCAGGGTCATACACTTTTTCTTCCTTACCAGTCATGGTTGATTAACAGCAGGGTGCACATGACACCAGATCAGCCAGTCACAGTCCCTTCCCAGCCAGATGCTTATGACAGAGAATCAGTCTCTCTCCAGGTGGACTCAGGAGCTGTTGGTGGCCATGTTTTCTGCGTAGGGATGGGAGAAACAGAGCAGGTCGGTCTGCAGAGAGATGAGAAAACAATGAGATAAGAGAGCAAGCCAGAATCCTGACTCCCATTTCAGGCCCTGATTCCAGTGTATTCCTAAAACTGGACTGAAGCTGGCCCTTAGGTTCTGTAACAAACCACTTAATTCTTTTAATAAATTCCTCTTCTCCATAAGCTCCTGGTACTTGGAGTAAAGGAACCCTGAATCCTAAAAAGGGCTTGAGGAAAGCACTCCTTGAGCAGAGACGACCACCAGGTGGATGAGGATGGGGTCAGCTGGCCTGCAGAACACTCAGTCTGATGGACGCACAGCTGATGCTGGTGAGAGGAGACCTGAGGCAGACTAACAGCATGTCCCTGAGGTCACCACAAATCCCAGACCTGACTCAGCCTCGCAGATGGGAAAGCTGCTCCTTACAGCTCATCCAGCACAAATCAGGCTCTGAGGATTGAGGCAAATCTTCGAAACTCACAAATGACTGATTGATAAGCAAGAACTCCACTTTTCAACTGCCTAACTGGAAAAGAACAGTGGTATTCAAACTGTAATGATTTGACCCCAACTTTTTATAAAACCATGATTTCCTCTACCTTCTCCCATATATATGCCAACTTCTGTTGCATGCATGACATGTACTTTCCTCTTGTTTCTTTGCTTCTACCATTAACTCAGCCTAGAAGGTCTGACTTCCATCTCCACTTGTCAAAATTCCACCAGTATTTCAGGGCCCATTTCAAAGGTCACCCCCTTCCATCCTTTGGGAGTAAGCAGTTCCTCTCTGCTTTCTCCTCCCATTGTACTTTGTGACTCCTTAAGCACATAATCTGCATTGTTTTGGAATTATTTATGAATGTCTCATATCTGCAATACCCAAAAACCTTCACCAGACACAATCTCTTATTAATGCAGTCTCTAATTGCATTCACTCTTCTGGTAGCCACTTCGTATTTCATCTCATATCAAGTTCTGTGGTCAATTTAGACTCTTAATGTTAGAATCCTTAAAAATTCAGCCTATAATATGCTCAGACCTTGTCAGCAGGTTAGTGAGGAAGTGAAGGGGAGGAACAGAATGGCAGCAGGCAGATAAGCACAGAGCAGGAAGCTTGGTATCAGTGTGGCAGTATTTACACTGCATTGATCTAGTGAGAGGAAAAAGGCGGCAGGGCATTCTGGATAGGTACGATATATGGAGTCACCTAGCTAACCACTCTGTAGTTCAAAGGCCCGTTGAAGTTGGACAAAAACCTAGCTAGTAGTCAATGGGGTTTGGAGAATAAGCGCTAGGCCTGATTTCCGGAGAATGGTGGTCAAAGGCACGATGGGTCTTTGGGGCTGAGCAAGCCGACAAGTAACGTGGGAGAAGTACTGGCTTTGGAGCCAGACGGTCCTGGGTTCTTGCCTTGGCTCTACCATTCACCAGCTGTGAGACTTGGCACACGTGATCTTGCTTCTCTAAGCTTCAGCTTCCTCAGCTGTAAAATGAGGGAAAATGTTTCTGCTTCTTGCAAGATTGTTGTGAGATTACTTGAAGGTGTACACCTGGCCCATAGTTGACACTAAATATATATTCATTTCCATCACAGGCAAGGGCTTGGTGGCTTGCATGTGTCTGAGTCCAGGTCGGATTCCGGGCAGAAACTGCCCAGTGGGAGAACTGGAGACCAGTAAAAGAATCAAGGCTGCCAGCCACGTATGTAGTCAAACCAGAGGGTTTGGAAAGCCAGATAGAAAACTTAGGTAAGAAGCTGTGTGGAATCCTAAGTATCGATCTACTGGGCAATTTTCCCAGCTTTTGATATGAGATGGCTCTGATGCACATCAGATCACGTCAACCTCTCCAACCCCTCTTGGCTTCCTCAGCTCCCCTGGCCTCCAGCTTCTCCGGCAGCTGCAGGAGCTTCTTCGCCTCCTCTTACAAACACTCGTGCTCCTTAAAGTTCTGTCCCTGGCCTCTTCTCTTCTCACTTTGCACATTCTTTCCCAGTGATCTCATCCTCGTGGCTTTGACTGGTTTTCAGCTATTCGCTGCTGACTCCTGTATCTTCATCTCCAACTCAAAACACTTTCAGCTTCAGCACCTTGAGATTACTTTGCATTGCAACTACAGTTATCCCTTTGACCTCTGCCTGCATCCCTCTGCCTTTTCTGAAGAACTGGAGCTCTGGCTCAAAAATGATAACTGAGCATCTAAAGTCGTCAGTGTAATCAACCCCATTATATTACCAGGGTTTTCAAAGCTGGGGATCATGACCCATAATGGGCTAGAATTAATTCAGGGAGTTACAACTAGCTTTTTCAAGAACATGGAATAGAATGGAATACAAAAAGCAGAATGCTTGCCTCCCTAGTAAGTATTGCTTTAAAATTTTTTTGTTTTCATTGTGTGTGCATTGTGTTATAATAAAAATTGTTTTGTTTTGTTTTTTACCATGGGTCATTGACAAAAGTATAATACCTACTGAATTAGTCTACTATCTCTTCCAGAGCATTCCTAGTTAAATTATAAGAGGAAGGATTCAGGAATTAAATTATCTGGGTTCAATCCCAAGTTCCAGTGCTTACTACCCATGTTTTCTTGGACAAATTACTTAATTTCTCTACTTCCCAATTTTCTTATCCAGTAAAAATGAGTATAAAAGCAGTATCTCCCTGGGAGGAAGGTTTAGCTCCAGCGGTAGAGTGCATGCTTAGCATGCACAAGGGCCTGGGTTCAACCCCCAGTACCTTCACCTATTGTGAAGATTAAATGAATTAACATAGTTATTGCTTGACATGGGTAAGTACTTTCTAAGTATTAACTACCTGTAAACAATGAAACATCTAACTACTCTATTAAAAATATCAAAATTATGGAAGTACGTGGGGGACATTCACTTATAGGCATACTGTATATAATTCTGGAGTAGACAACGTCACCAGATTGTTTCACCTTTTTCATGATGTGACAAATATGGAAAATTATAGTTTTTTGGGGGCTCCCTGGGGTAAAGGGAACAGGTCATTCTGGCTGCAGATGACTAGCCAGAGGTGACAGTGGCTTCTGGACAGGAACCAATGACAGTCCTAAGGCCTAAAGGGATCAATATGCCTACACTTGACCCGTTCTCAGCACAAGATGAGAAACTCCAGACTCTAAACCAAAAGATGTATGTCTTTCCCAAGGTCAGTTACCAATTCAGGGCAGGCCTGTGACCAAGGCTGGCCAAGGAGACTGGTGAGGAGGACTTACACCCCATGATACCTTTCTGTCTCCTACTAGATGAGAAGAAGGAAGCCTGCTGCCCAAGCTGATGCCAGCGTTGGGATGGGGCCAACTCTGTGATGGCAGAAAAGGTGATCCGAGGAGCCTAGTCACTAACTCACTAGCTGAGTTGCTGCATCAACCAACCCTGCAGCGCATCCTACTCCAGGCTCTCTGTTAAGAGGATAATAAATGCTTGGATGGTTTTAGCCATTTTAAGTGATGATTTCAATTACATTCAACCCAAAGTCTCTAACTGATTCAGTGTCTTGTTCTGTTTTATAGATTTTTCAACACTGTAATTTATGGAATACTGTAGCCTGAAATGCAAAGTATTACACACAACTTTAGCAATCAGTATTGTGGGTCACAGAATATCAAATATCACAAGTGTGTACATTTGGAGTTTTAAGTTCTTTTGAGATCTTCATTAACCCTTCCATGGCAAAGGCTGCTACCAACTAGAGACTGTTTGCTCTATCTGCACCTCATTTAGATTTTTCTAAATGATTTGACGTACCTTAATAAATCTAGATAATTTTAGGGTGTAAACTGCTGGGAGCCACAGTACCACCCTTCAGTGTGATTGCTTCTTTGTGTGGTCTATTATGGGGAAATCTGTCATGACAATTTCATATCTGTTGTAGAAAGACTTAAGTTCACTGAACTCAGTATCTGTGAGGATTTAACAACCCCATTCCCTCTAGATGGCCCATGACCCACTGTGCTTCCTCTGATAACGTGATGATCTCGTAGATGTCAAAAGCTCATAGCTACTGCAGATAGGAAAAAGCCAGGACAGGCACAGAAAGCATCTTCATAAGCTGCTCACTGCTCTCCCAACTCTTCTTCAGGCTGCTGCCTGCCATCATCCTCCAAATGCATTGGCAGAAATGGAAGATGCATCCATGGGATGCAGCCTGGGAACTCCAGCGAACCCCCTTTATTGCCACAATTTCAAAGCCTCTCATATGTAACAGAGGATGGGAGATGGGTTCCAGCTCCCGCACGTGCCTCATTAGGTGAGTGTGTGACAGAGGACAGGAGTGGACTCTACACAGAACCAAAGAGTGGTTGGAACAGTAATGAAGCAGTTTTTGAAGCAGAGCTCTCATCATCTCTACATTTTTAGGCAACTTTGGATGACAAATAGTGGCAAACACACATCTTCAGCTCTGAAATCACTTAAGAGGAACTCCTTCTCTCCCTGCCACTTGAAGCAGTCCACCAAAGCTTGAGCAGGGCTCACTGGAGTGGCTCACTCATTCTTATAAACTCCTCCTATTGCATCTGTTTATTTGTTTTTGTTCTTAATATTAGAAACATTAAGGAGCTGAAGGGTTTTGGCTGCTGACCATGGGACTCCCCTTACCCATAGACTCAATTGTGCCCCACTCCTAACTCAGTGATTTGAATTTGTCATCCACAGAGTAACTTTCCTTGGGGAAGGGTGACTGGGACAGGATGGGTCCTCATGTGTACCTCTGAATTCCCATCACTTGGAGATCCAGAGAGCCTGATCCTCTACCAGCCCCAAGGCTAGTTCCAAATTCCCGTCCCTGGGGTGTGTGACCCTTCTCTGAAGAAAACTTGTTCAAGTATTTATTTTACAGCAAAGCAATGGCCATTTGCACAGTTAATAGCAGTTTCAGTGCCTAGAGGTGATGTCATCATTACATTTGGGGTTGTCACCTTTCATTTTGGAAAATTTAATGGGATTACTTACACAAAGATAAAGCTAGTAACCATCTATTGTTTTTAGAGTCTAGTTCAAGGTCACCTTAAATCTGTGACAGATGCTACAACCTAGGATTTTAAGGATTGCAGAGACAATAAACATTGATTGTACACTTAGTCAGACTCTTCTCTCAAAACAAAAGCAAAAAGGAGAAAAAAGAGTTTTCATTAGAAGGAAATCTAATGGCTCTGTTATGGGATGATTTAATATTGAAGAATCAATTACCAGCAATGCTTTTCTAGGCCAGAGTGTTCTCGGTTATTTATATGGAGCAAATAATCCGTGTAGACTTAAAAGAAATCGACTGTGTACACACTTGGGAGTAAACTGAGAGGAGAAGCTGGTTCTAGATATAGCGCATGGCTGATGCCAGAGCCTCTTCTTACCAGGCACCTCGAGGACCCAGTGGCAGGAACAGCAGCAACAGCAGCAAAAGGTCTGCTTCATTGGCCATTAGAATTCCTCACAATGGTAGCTATGGCCTTTCTGAACGAAATACCCTCAGTAGTCTTAAATGTATCACAATAGGGATCCTGGAAAGATGAAAGGATAAGGAGAATAGGAGTCTCTTAAAAACATCATTTTTATCACTTAGTGCATAAATTGAAACATACTCATATTGCAAGCATGTGTAATGGACGTTAGAGTACATAGAACTATTTATTTACCACTTAACTGTGATGTAATTGATGTATAACAAACTGCTCATGTTTAAAGAACACAAGTAGATGAGTTTTAACCTGTGAAATCATTATCACAATTAAGATGATGACCATATCCATCATTTCTGAAAGTTTTCTGTTGCCTCTTGGTAATCCTTCCCTCTCCTCTGCTCTGCCCCACTGCTTCTTCCATCTTCAGGCAACCATTGATCTGTTTTCTGTCACTGTAGATAAGTTTGCATTTTCTAGTATTACATGGAATTATATAGTATGTATTTATTTTTGTCTGGCTTCTCTCACTCATCATAATTATTTTAAGATTCATTCATGGTGCCTCATGTATCAATAGTTCATTACTTTTTTTAATGCTGAATAGTATTCTATTGCATGGATACACTACACTCCGTTTATCTATTTACTTTTTAATGGATAGTTGGGTTGTTTCAAGTTTATGGCTATTAAAATTAAGACCTTATGAACATACTCTTTCATTTCTCTTGGATAAATACTTAGGCAGCTGGATCATATGATAGATACATGTTTAACTTTGTAAAGAAACTGCCAAATTGTTTTCCAAAATAGTTGTATCATTTTACATTCTCACCAGTGGTGCATGAGAATTCAAACTGCCCAACATCTTTGCCAACACTTGGTACAGTCTTTTTCATTTTAGCCATTCTAATGGGCTTGTAGTAGTATCTCATTGTGATTTTGATGTATATGTCCCTAATGGCCACTGAGGTTGAACATCTTTTTATGTGCTTGATATCTTTTGCCCATATGTCTTATACAAATATATAATATTCTCTAATTAAAAATAGATTTTTTTTGGTTAATTCATACTAGATCAATATATTGAAGCAGATTACTACTTCCTCCAGCTCCTCATCCCCACAACTACTAAATACCTTACAAATAGAATATTTGAAAAGTCTCAGCCCATTCAAGAAGTAGAATATAGGGACTAGAGTCTGACTCCAAAAGTCTCCACTGCCTTAGAAATTTTACAGTATGGAACTTAGATGGTCTTGGAGCAGGGGAGTGGAAGAAGTCAATCAGAATGTCAGAATGCCCAGATCCTAGGACCAGAGTATAAACATAGCATCCAAAGGGAACAGAAGAGCAAGGAGGTTATAAAGTCGACCACTCTTTATAAATGGCTCTGGGGTAGACAGCAAGATGAAGCTTTTGTTGGTAGCATTCTCTTCTTTGCCAACATGGCTTACAGGTATGTGCACCTTTCACCTCGATCTCCATGCTAGACTGCAGCAAGAGTCATATGAAAGGATGGGGCCCCCAACAAATCCACTGGATGTTAAGGTCAGAGTTCCCCTGAGGATTCCAATCTTAAGAGGGTTCATGGAGGCCTACAATTAAACAGACTGGGCATGCAGAGTGAGAGGGTGACATGGCTGGGAGAAGAGAATCATGATTTAGTAGGTATGGTGTTGCCCAGTGCAGCAGACAGTGCCCACACTTTCAATCCATCATGTTCTTCTCAAATATAACCTTGACATCCTACCCATCAAGTAGTGAGCTCCATATCCCCTTGCCTCAAATTAGGGTACACTTTTTCAATTGTTCATCCAAGAAAGTGCTGTCGAAATGAAGTTACATGACTTCTGAGGCGAGATCATAAAAAATGTCATGTCCTTTGACTTTATTATCTTGGCGTGTTCATTCTTAGAACTCAGCCACTATGCTGTAAGAAACACTAAGCAATCCCATGGAGAGTCTCAAAGTATCTCCCCTCAAGTAACTTACTATTTACAAGGGGGTGGGGGGGAAACGATATAGTGGAAAAACTTGGTGGACACCATCGTAACCAAGTGATCAAAGTTAAAGTCACCAGTAATGAGGAAAATAGACATCATGTGTCTCCTGATATGATGTACAAGGAGGACACATCAGTTCCGTGGTATTTCTGTAAAAAAAGGCAACCTAATAATGAGAAACATCAGATAAACACAAAGAGGAAGGCATTCTACAAAATAACTAGCTTGACCCAATATAGGAGCACCTAAGTATATAAAGCAAATACTAACAGAGATAAAGGGGGAAATTGATGGGAATACAATCATTGTCGGAGACTTTAACACTGCATTAACATCACTGGACAGATCTTCTAGGCAAAGTAAATAAGGCAATAGAGAAATTAAATGATACAATAGAAAAACTGGACTTGGTTGATATTCTCCGAACATTACACCCCCCAAAGATAGAATATACATTATTTTCAAGTACACACAGAACATTTTCTAGGGTTGATCATGTACTTGGGCACAAAAGAAGCCTCAATAATTTTAAGAAGATAGAAATTATCTCAAGCATCTTTTCTGACCACATTGCCATTAAACTAGAAATCAACTACAGAGAAATGAGAAAAAGATGACAGCATGGAGATTAAACAATATGCTACTAAAAAACCAATGGGACAATGATGAAATCAAAGTTGAAATTAAAAAATGCATTGAGAGAAACAACAATGAAAACACAAGCACACAAAATTTATGGGACGCAGCAAAGGCAGTGCTAAGAGGGAAGTCCATAGGGATACAGGCCTTCCTCAAAAAAGAAGAACAATCTCATTTAAATAATCTAATCTACCAGCTAAAAGAATTAGAAAAAGAAGAGCAAAAAACCCCCAAAAGTCAGCAGAAGGAACGAAATAATAAAGATCAGGGAGGAAATAAATAAAATAGAGATTTAAAAAAAAATAGAAAAAATCAATCAAACCAAAAGTTGGTTTTTTGAAAGAGTAAATAAAATTGACAGACCTCTGGCCAAGCTCACAAAGAAGAAAAAAGAGAGCACAAATAAGCAAAATAAGAAAGGAAAATGGAGAAATTACAATCAATAATACTGAAATACAGAATATCATACGAGAATATTATGAACAACTATATGGAACCAAAATAGATAACCTAGAGGAGATGGATAAGTTTCTGGAAACATACTGTTCACCAAGACTGAATCAAGAAGACCACTTGAACAAACTGATCACTAGAAATGAAATCGAATTAGCAATAAAAAAAACCTCCCTGCAAATAAAAGCCAGGACCTGACGGCTTCACTGGGGAATTCTACCAAACATACAAAGAACTCCATACCAGTCCTTCTCAAACTCATCTAGAAGACTGAAAAAGAGGGAATACTCCAAAATTCATTCTATGAAGCCACCAGCACCCTGATACAAAACCAGGCAAAGACACCACCAAAAAAGAGAATTACAGACCAATATCACTGATGAACATAGATGCAAAAATCCTTACCAAAATATTACCAAATAGAATCCAACAGCACATAAAATAGATTATATATCATGATCAAGTTGGGTTCATCCCAGGGACACAAGGGTAGTTCAACATACGCAAATCAATCAATGTAATACATCACATCAACAAAAGAAAGGACAAAAACTACATGATCATCTCAGTAGAT